TCAAAATAACTTGTTTAAAAATATAGCTAATTAGTGAGGGAAAGTGGAATTAGATTTCAGTTCTCTCAAAACCAATTCTTTCAATAGATAGAATTAATATATATCAATTGATAGATACATATATATATATATATCGTTCAATATATTGGGCTTCTTTTAATATATTATGTTGTCTATGAACTACTTTTATCAGACCTTCAGTCTTAGCTAAGAGCATGAGATAGAACTGAGATGAATAAACTTCTTAATGCATGGTCAGATAATATTCTAGCTGCAATATCAGATGTAATAAATCATACATTTTAGAATCAATTTATTTTAGAGACAATCTATTGTAACTAGTGTTATAAATGCTGACATTCAGAAAGGCTAAGTGAATTTATTCATTGTCTCATTAATTCAATAAATATTTATTGAGTGCCCTTATTTCATGTCTACTATTGTAGGCCTTAATGATTGAAAGGTAAAGCTTTCAGGGAGCTTATGTTATTGTCAAAATAGGATCTTATTCAGCCTTTGAGATTGTTGTCACTTTGCTCTACCTTTCAAATATTTGGACTTTGGATAAATACAAAACACCATAATATGCACTTGGCTACATAACCCAGACGTCTCACATGCAGTTTACTGGTAAAGTGTATTGTGTAATTTCCAATTTGCAAATGTGAGAGGTACTTCTGAATATATAGAGAGCCATGAAGCATAGTGTCAGGAAGGTAAATACCCTGTGCACTTGTTATCCAGCTTAGGAGAGGGAGAGTAATAGGATGAGTTACTGCAAGAGGGGAAAACAGATAAATACCAAGAAGTTCCAAATAATAATCTCGTCTCCAAAGGAAAAGTGACTAAATAATGGGGATCACCACTGGGAATCATCTGGCAGAATCTGGTTCTCTCTTTTGAAGTACTAGGCATTAGTCTTCTGTTCTGCTTTTAGACAACTTGAGCTACAGAAAATTTGCAGAGACATTACTCAAAATATTTTGTTCTGGACCATTTGAGGCAAGTTGCCAACATGATGCCCTATCTCCTCCCACCTCATCACCAGTAAGTTCATGTATATGTCCTATAAACAGGGATATTCTTCTATATAAACCTAAGGCAATCATCAAAACCAGCGGAATTATTACTGATCCATTACTATCTCCTAATCTACAGACTACATTCAAGTTTGCCAGTTGTCCCAGTAAAGACTATGGCAGAAAGGATTTAGTTCAGAATGAAGCCTTATATTTAGTTGCCATGTCTTTTTATTCTCCTTCAGTAGCTCTTCAGTCTTTGCTTGATGATTTTGATGATTACAGACCAGTTATTCGATAAAATTTTCCTCATTGTGGCTTTATCTGATGTTTCCTCATGATTAGATTCAGATTACGGCTCCTCAGCAGGAATATCACAGATGAGTTTCTGTGTTCTTTTCATTGCATTCTGTCAGTTGTCATACGATTTTGCTTTGTCCTTTTATTGATGAGTTTAACTGTGCTCATCTGATTAAGGTGGTATCTACCAGGTTTCTCATTAGAAGGTTATTCATTTTCTCTTTGGAATTAATAAGGATTTCACGAGAAAATACCTTGAGACTATGTGAATATCCTGTTCCTCATCAAACTTTTAATTGGTTTATTGGCATTATTATGAACTCATAGTTTTCTTTTTTTCAGAGGAAAATAGTTTTCTCAGATTTGACTAGAGGAAACACTTGTTGTCTAGTTTCTGAGTCTTGTTGACATATCCTGTCATTCTTTGGAGACTTCCTTCCTGTCACAAGGTGGCCTAGGTTCTTGGACTTTCCATGTCTTATCTCTGGAATCAGACATTTATGCAAGGAGCCCTGATTGCTTCCTTTTATGGAGAAAGATGTTAGAAACCAATATCTGGGTATCAAGTGTCCTCATTACTATTGAGATATTGTTTCTCCTAGTGAACAGAACTAAAACATGTGTGTGTGTGTGTGCGCGGGCATGCGTGCGCACGTGGGCGTGTGTGTATCTGGTGTATAGATGTGTGTTTGTGTGAATTATCCTAGTCTGCTTCACAGAATACCACAAGCTGATAATTTATAAAGAAGAGAAATTACCAAAATCCCACAAATCATCCCTAAAGAACTTACTCATATAACCAAATACCACTTATACCCCAATAACTTATGGAAAATAACATAAATAATAATTTAAAAGAACAGAAATTTGCTTTTCACAGTTTTCTGGAGGCCCCGGCATCTGGTCTGGTAAAGGCTTTCTTGCTTTGTACTCACATGGTGGAAGGCAGAAGGGCAAGCTTGCCAAATGCTGTGTGAAGCCTCTTTTTTTTTTTTAAGACCTTAATTTCATTTGTGATGGAAGATTCTTCTGGCCTAACCATCTCTTAAAGGCCCCACCTCCTAATACTGTCACATTTGGCAAGGCCTGAAATTTTGGGGAGATACATTCAAACCATAGAATGCATATACACATTCTTCTATCCATCTATTTATATCTATCCATACTATAAACTATAATATACTCTAATACCTCCAATTTCAAGTCAATATCACAAGAATCATTATGGTTTTTCTCTTTTCCATATTTGTAACTGTCTTCCCTGACAGTGATCCATCCCACTCCTATTCTTCTAGTGTATTTTCTTATTTGATTAGACCCGTATATGAAACCAACCTCTCTTTGTCACCATCCTCCCACTTCCATCACAGATGGCCTCCCCGCCGTGCTCAGGCTATAAGATTGCTTGCTAAGATCCATCACCATGAACAACCTCCTCATTCCACTTGGGCTGCGATACCATGCAGCAAGCCACCCATCTGTGGGGATGTTCTCCTGCCCCACCTGGGCCCTAACTGTTCATGCTTAAGCTGGAAACTCTCTCCTGTTCACGTGGACGTCCTCATCATTCTGCTTGGGTTGTGACACCTTCACTAGGCCACCGCCCACTCCTCACCCTGTGTCGATATTCTTTTTTCCATGCTTGGACTCCAGCACTCTGCTCTGGGTACATGTGCCTCCCTCAAATACACCTTGGTTGGCTGTTTGCCAACCTTGTTTGCTTGGTTTCTGAAAGTTTTTAGATTAATTTATTTAAGAACGAACAAAAAAGAAAGGAAGGAGAAGGGAACTGGAAAGAACTAAGAAGCAAAGACTTTTTTATTATCAGAAGTCATCAGATTTCAAGAAGGTGACTCATGAATAGGAGATGGGAAATTGAGCTAGAGCTACAAAATATTGATTTATTAATTTACAGTAAGACTAACAACTATCACAGGGACAAGTAACGTTCACTGTAGACAAATTGGTTCATACTCTGCCATCAGCCTTCATGGGAAATCAAGTCATAATCAAATGTCATATGAAAGATTCATCATGGGAAATTATCAGCCACAAGTCTGGGAATATTTAAAATTCTCTTGTCATTTGTTCATGAAGATAAGGACTACATAGGAATCGGAAAGATAACTGGTGAGCAACAAATTAGGACAAGAGTGGTTATATCAATGGATCTCAAACCTGACTGCCTTGGGACTATTTTATAAAATAAGTGTGTAAGCCCAAGCCAGAACCGTCAGCTCAAAACTTCTTGGGGATGGAGCCCAGAATAAATATTTTATTTAAAAAAAACAAAAAACAAAAAAACAAAAAACTTCCCAGGGGATCACAATGAGCAGCCAAAGCTGAGAACTATTGAGTTAGATGGTTCAAATGTTGAAATGCTAATTGGCATCCGTTTAGGATATCTTAAAGCACTCAACTCATTTTGAGGAACAGAAATAACTGGGTTTGGTTAAGGCCTGCCCTTTCCCTTCAACAGAGCTAGAAAATTCACTGCCATTGGTTTTTTTTTTTTTTTTTTCGGTTTTGTTTTGTTTTCTTCCTTTACCCTCATTCTTCCATGTTTGCATAGCTGATAAATATCCTTCTACTTGACATCGCGCTTTTTTTTTCCAGATATTGCTGATTGATTCAGTCAGGTAATAGTGATCCAGGCTTATTCAGAAAGACTTTACATTATCTGAATCAAAGCCAATGTGTTGATTTTAATAATGACATCAATAGTTACCACAGAGAACATACCATAGGCATGTTCAGAACACGTCATCCCCAAATATGCCACTTTGGCATATTGATTATTTTGAGTTAAGGCATTTGGTAACAACAGATGCAAAAAGGGCACTCTGATCTTCCTTTTCTTCCTGAAAGCAAGAGATAGAATTTCTATGACAAAGGTACCCTCCCTGTACCAGGAGGAAGACATTCTTATCGCCCATATTGGCAAATCAAGGCTAAGAGAAATCTATACAAATCTTGTTCAACTAATCTTATCTACCTAGTATTTTTCCACAGTTAACTGCCCTAGCTCAAACCCCTTTGTCTTGACAAATTTTCACAATGCACTACTCTTTGTCCATCTAGTATACAAACTTTCAGCTCTCACTGCTTTTTGGGTCTTCATTTTTTTCTTGGGAAGGCTCCCATATAGATATAAAAATTACAGAATAAAATGTGTCGATTTTTCTCCTCTTAATTTTTCTTATGTTGGTTTAATGCTTAGACCCAGTCAGAGATCCTAAGAAGACAGACAAGATATTTTACTCTAATAAGAACTTTTTACATCGATCACACCTAAGAATCATTACTGCTCTATAAAGTAAATAAATGTGTTCCCATTTTACAGATGGGACTGAACGAGATTAAGTAACTTGCCCAAGGTTACTGAGCAACCAATTTTTACTTTAAATCCTATGCTCTTCCTGTGTGTTGCTCTGTCTCTCACATTTTAACTTTCAAAGGCCAATCTTCTTTGCTCATTTTCGTAGTTTTTGAAGAAATTTTCCATAACTATAGCATTCATGTGCTAACAAAAATCACTGTAGCATAATTGACTAAAAACTGGATTTTAATATGAGTTAGGGCAATCTTGGATGCCTGCCAGAGTTATTTACTAACAGTGATTGAGAAGCCGAAAGGAAGCCTGCATAAGCAAGATTCATGTGCAGACCCAGATGGACTCACCTGTAAGAATGAAGTTCAATATGGTAAATTGGACAGGAAAACAGAGACAATTATCCAAATGTGGTTTCTCTGTGCTATAAGCCTGCATTCCTGAGCAGCTTAAGTACAAAGGCTGAAAAGAAAATTGTTTGTCTTGGGACTTGTCATTTGAATTTTCCCCAAAGGCCACATTCAGATATATGAAAGTAATAAATTTAAGTATTACTTTAAAATGTCCACTTATCTAATCATCAGGTAGTTCTCAAGTTAAATGTTACTATTAAGATCTTTCCAAGAGCCATTGACTGATTTTTCTTTATTTTTTTTTATCAACATGAGTCACCTTTAACCTGAATTATGTAATGAACAGGACAAAGAAGGGAGAGAGAAAGGGAGAAAGAGATATAATAAACAATAAAGAAAGCAAGAAACTGACCTTTGACTGAGGTGGTCAAGTCAAAGCATCTCTTATTACATAGGAGGATATATCTCACAAATGGGATCTACTTTAGCATGAATTTCCCTGTTTCTAGAGGATGGAACATTTAGCAGGCCGTTAATGACCCATGATACTTGCATTTCATTGTTTAACCAGAAAAAAATAGTCTCATATGAGGAATTTTAGATGACTAGCTATGACTCCATTTATTAGTCAAAGAAAGGATTATGGAAAATTCTGAATTTGCTTTGTTCTTTATCACTTGATAGTTCCCTAAGCATTGATCTGTGAATCCAACTTGCTTGTATGCTCCAGGTCCAAGTATTAAAGGGTAATTATAAATCATTTGGGAACAACTTAGTTAAAGAAGTTTCCCGGGGGGCCAGGCGCGGTGGTTCACTCCTGTAGTCCCAGCACTTTGGGAGGCTGAGGAGGTTGGATCACGAGGTCAGGAGATTGAGACCATCCTGGCCAACATGGTGAAACCTGTCTCTACTAAAATAAAATAAAATAAAATAAAAAATACAAAAATTAGCCGGGCATGGTGGCGGGTGCCTGTAGTCCCAGCTACTCAGGAGGCTGAGGCAGGAGAATCACTTGAACCTGGGAGACGGAGGTTGGAGTGAGCTGAGATTGTGCCACTGCACTCCAGTCTGGCGACAGAGCAAGACTCCATCTCAAAAAAAAAAAAAAAAAAGTTTCCTGGATAGCTCTATGAGGATTTTCATAAATTATGGATTCATTAATTAGTCATCATGATTTTTGGATAACAGAGTAACCGTGAAGCTTAATCCAGAAGATTCGAATATTCTAGACTTTGTTCTTTCCTCTTTTATTCTTCTGTCCAAGGACTCTCAGGGCAGGGTTACAACCTTCTAAGCAATGGTTTCCAAAAATTTTTGGTCGTGTATTTCTGTTGATTAAAAAAAAAAAAAAAAAAAACAAAGTTTGTAAATATGTTCCCCAAAATAATAGATATATACTACTGTCATAATATAATACAGAATCAATTTATATGTAATATATAAATGGTAAGAGTATGAGATAAAAATGTAACCACCCAACAGGTTCACCTTGCCCAATGCCTAGACAGAGCCAATTTACACGGACAGGGTGGTTGCAATAGAGAAAGAATAATTTATGCAGAGCCAGCTGTGTGGGAGACCAGAGTCTTACTATTACTCATATCAGTCTCCCCAGGCATTTAGGGATAAGAGTTTTTAAAGATAATTTGGTGGGTGAAGGGGCCAGTGAGTCAGGAGTGGTAACTGGTTGGGTCAGAAATGAAATCATAGCGAGGCAAAGCTGTCCTGTTGCACTGACTCAGTTCCTGGATGGGCGCCACAAGACCAGATGGGCCAGTTTATGGATCTGGATGGTGCCAGCTGATCTATCAAGTGCATGGTTGGCAAACTATCTCTAGCACTAATCTTAGGTTTTATAATAACGATGTCCCTAGGAGCAATTTAGGGAGAGGGTCAAAATCTTGTAGCCTCCAACTGCCTGACTCCTAAACCATAATTTCTACTCTTGTGACTAATTTGTTAGTCCTACAAAGGCAGTGTATTCGCCAGGCAGGAAAGTGGTTTGTTTGGGGAAAGGGCTGTTACTACCTTTGTTTCAAAGTTAAACTATAAACTAAGTTCCTCCCAAAGTTAGTTCAGCCTGTGCCCAGGAATGAACAAGGACATCTTGGGGCTTAGACACAAGAGGGAGTTGGTTAGTCAGATTTCTTTCACTGTCTCAGTTATAATTTTGTGATGGCAGTTTCAAACACCATAATAAAAATTTTATTATTTTAATTTTATAGTTCATTTTAGGAGTCATTTTTCATATTTTAATGTATATAAAAATTGCCTGGGAATATTGTTTAAAATGCAGATATTGATTCAGTACATCAGAGATGTGGCCCGAGAATTTACATTTTTAACAAGCAAGCGATACTGATATTGCTGGACTATGGACCACATTTTTTAACAGCAAGACTCAGAATCAAATGTCACATTTTATAAATTATTTCCTCTTCTCACATTTCAAAAAATTTAATAGCACATTCTTGTTCCGGGGAAACAACCAAAGCACTCACATACTTACCGCGATGGTTAGGCTAGCTTTGTTTGAAATATGATGTCCCAAAATAGGTATATGCTTTTTCCAACCCTCTAGAAGTGAGCCTGGCTTCCCCTGAAATCTGAGCGTCCACACCAATGACCTTATGGATAGATTCTTTTGGCTCCTAATCTTTCTACTCATAGTTTTCCTCCTGAATACAATGCCCTGAGCTTAACAAGCTCCTTTTAGATTAGTAGCAACAAAACTGGGACTACGGTGAAACACTATCCTTAGACAAAAATGTTTAAGGGGATGCCAAAAAACAGCCAAGTAATCAAGGTAGGTAATATTGTGATTCAATATTTTAAACAATTAAATTGACAAACTATGGCTCGCTGCCTGTTTTGTAAATAAAGTCTTATTGGTCCCAATATTCTTCTTTGTCTTGCCTCTTGGGTACTGCCCACTGCAGCACCAGCAGCTTTATCAGACATATCCTAAATGTCCTCTTCCTAGTAATTGGAAATATAGTTTTCAATAAACTAACTTAAAAAATCTTTAACTTAATAGCATACAATATTTGAAGAAAATCAAATATTTCACATTAATTCTCTGGATTATTAAAAATTTAGAAGGAATATTTAAACTTATGATGTCTTTTAATGAAATTCATCTGAAAGATAGAATGACCCCAGTGGTAAAAATATTACATTAATTCCAATCTTGAATGTTGTCTAAAATCTGATCCATCATTTTTCTGCTGTGAAGGAAATGCAAGAGGTATCAGATTTGATAGCATTTCTACCTAAGGGGCAGAAAAAGTAAATTATCTACAAAGAAAGAATGGATTCAAACTCAGTCTTGAGATACCTCAACATATCAGTAAATGATCTTAAAATTCATTCAATCATCAAACTAGAAACTTTGATGCTGTTGTTCATTTTTCCTTTTTGGTTTCAATTGGCCATAATCAATTGGTTGCTGAATTATTTTAATTACATTCCTCAGAGACCTTTGGATTTGACTTTTATCCTTTCTAACCCTTTTTTTTTTTTTACTATTATTTTGAGAGAGAATCTCAGTCTGTCGCCCAGGCTTGAGTGCATAGGCGTGCAGCTCACTGCAGCCTCAGCCTCCCAGGTTCAAGTGATTCTCCTGCCTCAGCCTCCCGAGTAGCTGGGATTACAGGCACATGCTACCACGCCTGGGTAATTTTTGTATTTTTACTAGAGGTGAGGTTTCACCATGTTTTCTAGGCTGGTTTCGAACTCCTGACCTCAGGTGATCTGCCTACCTCAGCCTCCCAAAGTGCTGGGATTACAGGCATGAGCCACCATGTCTGGCTCATATCCTTTCTACTCCTATCACCAACACTCACCTGTGCTGCTCTTCAATAATCTAGATTCTTCCAATTCCAATTCATTCTCCACATTGCTGTCAGAGAAACCCCTCTAAAATAGAGCTCCAGTCACTTCATTTCACAACTTTAAAACTTTATAAAACTTTCTGTGATGGGCTAAATGCACAGTATTTAGTTTAGTGCTAATCAGACTGCCTAGCCTTATCTTCCACTGTTTCCTATATACCTGCTACAGCCATGTTGCACTGTTTGCTGAAGACATTGAGAAATACGTACTCTCTGAATTCATGAATCTCAAAAAATATATAAGCCTGCTATAACTTGGGGTTTTGTTCGTTTTTATAGAAAGAGAGTCTGAGTCTAAAGCCAAATGCAAAAATAAAACTCAAGAAATAGATAGATGGAGATAAAGATGGAAATGGAAATAGAGGTAGAAAAGTGGGGAAAAGAGGGCAGTATGAGAGCTTACAGGATGATGTGAGACTAGGATGTAGCCATGTCTGAACTAGTTCACCTCTAGATATAAATATCTAGATCTTTATGCAAATTTAGTTTTTACAATAAATTCATTCTCTTTGTATAGACTAACTTGAGTTGCATTTTTGAGGTTTGCAACTAAAAGACTCTTAAACAATACTAATAAAAATCGAATTCTGGTGCTGTTCATTATTATAAAATTGGTATCTGTGGTTTTCTAGTTTCTAGTTGAGATTAGCCAAAATGAAGAGCAGACAATGAGCATTAGTAGGGGCAGGAGATGGAGACAAGGAAATACCCATAATTAAAGACAGGCAAATAGTTTTTTTTTTTCTATGAAGAATTTTCATTTTCTGATTGGCTCACATTTTAGAATTGTCCAAATAAACTAGACATCCACACTTACACATATATAAAGTTAAAAAGGCATGCATTATATGTACATAACACAATGAAAACAAAACAAAAGAATATGTGTTTTTCAGAGCTGGTGACTTCCGGAAGAAACTCATATTGTACTGGAAGAAACTAATATTGTCAGGTGTGGGCTGAAGGTAAAGGACAAGAAAGGATTTATCTCGATTACTGTTCTTCTAGTTAAGTTTTTGCTGAGTGTCACAATGACCTTCCCAACGCAGATGCTCACAAGCTGCCAGCTTCTCAACATCTGTTACTATTGCTACTTTGAAAATTTAGAAAATCAATGTACAGCTGGACTCTGCATTTATTATGGTCACAAATGGAATCTCCAAAGCCAATGGGGTTGATTTTGTCTAATGATTCAACCCAGAGAAATATATGCCTTAGGCCATTTGCTCCAGCCTGCGCTATTAGGAAGTGTGAGATGACCTTGGATTTTTGATCCCCTCTAACTTGCTGGCCACAGCAAAAGCACTCATGGCAATCAACAGGAGTTATTTAAATCATATATTTCTCCTTATTTTAATAACTTTATTCTTTTATGCATCATTATTAACTGCTTGAAAATCACATGTTGTTATCTGAAAAAGGCAAGTCTTGTCAAAAATTAACCTGCAAATTGACCACAGCTAATTTACTAACAAAAATCAAAGGCTGGTGGCATACTTTTAAAATAAAAAAGTAGGCCTAGTGATGATGTTTGGCCAAATGTTCTTGTATAAAACTTTTGTTATATTTGTGGACTTTCCATCACTGTTAACATTTCATCAGGAAAGGAAATGAGGTGCTTTCGTTTTGGGCATCCACAACTCAAAGCAGCAATCTCTAAAAAGCAAAACACAATTTCATTCATGAACAGAACATTCTTTTCTCATCAACAAATTGGTAATGCAGGCAGGATGCTGGCTGTCCTAACGCTACTGGGGCATGGACTTTGGCAACAACTGTCTGCAAGTGAGCCTGTGGACATGCTGAGGGTCACCCTTACTTATCTTTTTCTCTTAATTTCACTCCCATACCTCTCATTAAGATAAGAAGTCTCACCATTCCTACACGTGGCTTTCTCAGCAGCTTTCTGGCCTGTGCACTAGTTGGGTTGATTTATGATTTAATTTTA